GTTGTGACATAAGAAGTCAGGCTCAGTAGACTTACTTTAGGCATGAGATACAGACTGTTTAAGTGGTGAGAGAGACATCGGGATGTTCTCTCAGGGGTTACTGTGCTTGTGTCAACTGGTCATCCAACTCATAGGCCATGTGGGTCAGACAGGGTCTGAGGGATGACAAGAAACACCGATAACCATGTAGACTATATACATGGCCGCTCTGTGTTACCGTCTTTCCCCTTTATAATCACACACACATAATCTCTCTCCTTTAATCCATCCCCTTTCATGTGTACTCTTAACAGGGTGCTGTGTAAATGGCATGTTGAGCCCCTGTCATTAGCTGCTAAGCCAACTGCTAGCACCACACACACACCTCTGACAGAGCACTTTTAATACACGCTGCGTTTGTGTGTGTGTATGCAGTGGATGTGGCAGGAGGGATTTAGGCACCGTTGACCCAGTCTCAATATAAACCATGGGGCTGAGGGTTCGGGCTATCACCTCTCTTGCTGGGCTTATAGCTGACATAAGAAGTAGCTGGCACAGGCAAGGTAATCTGCAGTCTGTGTGTATGGGTGTAAGTACTGTACAACAATGACTTAGAACTACCACTGCCCACTGCTGTCAAATGAAGCTGGACCAAAAACACCCTATTTCACATTGAGTAAATGATAATACTGTTCATTGTTTAGCTAATGTGTCTGAGCCAGCTGATTCACAGAACACTGACAGCATCATGCACACTCACACAATTAACAGCACAAAGACTTTAATATAGGCCTATATTACCCCACAGACTATATTTAGCACTCCATCTCTGTTTCCATGGGAATGAAGAGTTCACCACAAGAGGCTGGGGCCTCAGGTATTTTCCAGAAGCAAAAATGACAGAATGGATGGCTGGCTCCTGAACCATATCTAGCTTTTCCACAGCCTGGTAGGTTTGTCAAGTGATCATTTCCACTCTGCTGAGTCCAAGCATCACTAGGTATGTGTTTAACTGCTACCCTAGTTTTCCCTTCACACAGCCTGGCGCCATCAATGAAGCCAGGCTTTCAGTTCACTACATCTGGATTATGTTTTACCTGTTCTGGCCTTGTCTGCTATAAAGACTGGGACAGGAAATATACCAACCTCTTACAATTTTATATTACTGTACTGACTGATACTGCCAAATGTGAAAGGCAAGCATAAGACCCAAAGCTACATATCTGCAGTGTTTCTTCATTATTTACCATTACTACAGCAGGCCCAGCTAATTATAACACTGGCTACACTGTATCAACCCTCAAAGTTGTAAACTTTCAATATTTAATTCAATGGACATATTTCAGTTAGAATGCAACAAATATAACAATGATACATGGATATATGAAATACTATTTCTAATCAAAGAAGGAACAAAGCACAGCTCCAGTGTCATTTATACCACTGCAACTTGAATGCAATATAAAGTTTCTATGTCTGTGTAGCCACAAAAATCCATGTGATGTGCCCATGTCCACCAGTCTGTACAGACTCTGTAGCTCAAAACTTATCACATGGACTGTGTGCATGGCCTGTACACCCACATGCATATACTAACATATCCATCAACACAAATGGACAATAGTCAACAAAAAGACATCCACGTCTAATGTCCGTGTCCATTTTGATTATATCCAACATTTCATTTTCATAGTACTGTCACCAAATTCTATGATTGCCTCACTTCATATTTCACTTCCAACATTACCCATTATATCAGAACACCACAAAAACTTAACAAAAAGTAACACATTGTGCAACAATTTACAATTAAAACAAGCAATTACGTAAACGTCAAAAATGCAAATATGAATTCTTAGATATTACAAAATGACACATAAGCAACAAGTGCTACACTATTTACTATTGCTGTTTTTCAGTTCTCGATAGAAACTGAGCAGTCAGAAAGGAAGCTGCACCCTAAAGGCCAATCTGTGCTTTTGGCACCTGAATGACATAAATTTTGTCATTCGCCTGCGTCCGTGAAGGTCCATGCAGACACCAGTGCTGCTCTCAATTCAGGCCCTGTCCTATCTACACAGGAACAGCCCACTTCCTGCCTCCCCTGGGTGGAGCGGTGACCTTGTCTAGTGCTTCTGCTGTAACATATTCTGACAGAATTCTTCAGGTGCACAAATACATTCTCACAAGATCTACAAATCAACACAAAGGCAAGGTTTCAGTCTAGGTATTCAAAACATAATGCTGATATATTCACGTGTGAAAATAGAGATAAATATGGTTACACAAAAACAAATGTATTCTTAGTGACAAAGCTGAATAGGCTGCATCACAGATACCTGCAAACAGATGACTGTGTGATATAACACACACTGCCAAGATGTATTCTGTCAGAACGTCTTCCTGATGTTGTTCTTTCAGGTTCAGCTGTACTTTACAGGCACATCAACATTCCTTGGAAGCGCACTGCCTTTATTGTGAAGCCAAGGTTTATAGCCACATAATGCCAATGAGATGAAGCTTTCCTGTTTAGGATTTTTCATCACGTAGCAGCAGCAGTAGTGTTGGCAGCAACTCTGGGGTTTCCCCTCATTGAATGTGACCTTCAGTTCAGCCTGCCTGCTTGAATATCAATCAGCCAGTCTAACAGTAAGCTACTGTATCTGTCTGTCTGTCTGTCTGCCTGCCTGCCTAAAAGCAGAATGTGCCTCAAGTGCTGGTTTTCCCCGATTCTGAACACGAATGCTGTCTTATGAAACCCCTGTAAGTTGGATTATGGTGGTTTTCATGATTTGAGGTTGCGAATTGTATTTAACACTAAATTAATCAATATATGCAGATACACATGTTTTATAGTATGACCCATGTGTATTTTGAGGGTATAAAGAGGCTATAAACAGGAGGCTAAGCTTGGCCTCAGACTAGATGTGACAGACCAAAGAGCTCATCAAAATGACCCTTTTTTTAATAGTTCTAGCCATGATTTCTGTCAGTTAGGAGAAAACTAAGATCACCTCAGGGATCAAATCCAGTCTCACAGCAGAGTGGAAAGGCTGCAGTAAGTCAGCTCTGTGCCCCATTCCTTTAATACTACCTGCGCTGCTCTGTACTACCATTTACAAGTGTTAGTAATGCTAATTTTCCTTTCATCTCCAAATAATAACTGAGCACCCTCAATTTAGATGTGTAGCTTCATACAGAAATCTATGCAAAGACAGCAGACTTTCAGTTGTTACAGTACAAGAACACTTTCTGTACTGTATTCTCAGTCATTACAGAACTGTAATGAAAGATTCAAGTACTATGAAAGTTGAGTTCTGTGTTTCACTCTCAAGCCTATTTGAACTCCTCTTAAATCAAGGGTTTGATCTTTTGGGTAAAATATTTATTCTCCTTCTTGGTCAGAAAGAAGATCGACAGCTACTGCTTTCACACCTGTGTGTTAAATACAAGGCTACAGCCAGCAGAGAGTTAGCTTAATGTGTATCTTAAAGACTGGAAATGGGGGAAACCACCAGCACCTCTAAAGCTGGCTAATTAACACGTTATCTTTTTTGTTGTTAATCCATACAAAAGCAGGAGGTTGGTCTGTAAACTGATGGGTGTTTACTAATATTTTGAATAAAAAATGTTAAATAAACCTTCACTGTCTCCTCCAAATAAGTTTGGTAAACATGGGGGTTGGCTTCAATCCCACTGAAATGTACTCCCATCTCTAGGCATTCAACTTGGAGAGTATACTGTTAATTTTACCAATGGGAACAAAGGCCCAAGTTATATTAAACCACACTTATCATTTGAATGTATCTCTGTGGACTGAGAAATTAGAAACAAATAATTGCATGTCCTCACGCACACACAGCACTTCTTGCACTTCTCATCTTTCCATTTCACTCATTTTCTGCTTCAGGTGAGGGAGGCTTGGGCTCAGCGAAGGCATTCAGCCAAATAAATCAGAGCATGGAATCAATCATGGACTCCCTTCTATAAACACCTGCCCTCTTCTCTTTCTGCTCTCCAACCTTTCATCGCTCATATTCTCCCCTCTGGAGCTACAATACGGCACCAATAATTAGACTCAGGAGCCACAGACTTTATCTTTAGGGCTTCCATTTTTTTCATCATATGGGAGCCAGAGCCATCAAATCAGCCAAGAGATTTTCCCTTTTTTACTTTTTGTTTCATTGTTTGTATGGTCTCTTTTTTTAAAACCGCATGTACTCCCCCATTCTGCTTTTCTTCTTGCAGCTGTGAGGAAAGCCCCTGCTTCCCCCATGACAATTGACATCTGCTGCCACCGTGCAGTCCCTTACCATCACTCTGTGCCTTTACAAGCATATCTCCATTTTTTTGTGCATGTGTGTGCTTTTCTATCAGCCCATTAAGGTCATCACTGAGCAGTGCAGCATCCAGACAGCAGGAACTCAGCCCACGCTGCACACATACTGGTGAAGAATGAAAAAGGTGAGGGGAATAAAAAGTTTTTCCTCAGTTCTGCCAGTGCTACCACACTGCCCTCACTGGCTTGTCTTTCAATGTGAAAGCTGGCTCTTGTGAGTCATGTGCTGCTCATCAGAAATAACATAGAATGAGTCACAGAAGGAAAAGCTGGGCTGCTTCATGTCAGCGCCACTTTGATTAGTGTCGTTACAAAAGGGTGGAAGTGAAAGTGAATTTTAAGCTGCAATAGTAAGATGCGGTTAGCATAGCTGTTACTATATGAAACTTGACCACTACCCACTACTACACACATGACTAAGAGGAACATAGTGAAGGTGTGAGAATAAATGTACAGTCATAACAAAGGAGGAAGTCGTTTTAAGGGGCGATATGCCTTGAGAAGGAAGTGTTTTAAGCAAAGATACTGTCCCGGTGGGACATGCTGCCGAGGCGTCAATTTGAAACTCAGCAAGAGTTAATACAGCAACAACATGGTGTACAACTCCAGCTTTTGTTACCTTAAAGCCAGGTTTCAAGACATGTACTCACCCCTGGCAGACAACTTCTTCGTATTGATTATTTTGGCAGCGTATTCCTGTCCTGTGGAAATCTTCATGCATCTTCTCACCACAGAGAAAGCACCCCTACACAACACAAAGAGTTGGTGATCAGGGATATAGCAAGATTTGACAAAATGGACAGTTTCCCATCATTTTCATACTCAAACTATTTGGTGTCCCCTCATGCCCTATGGATGGAGGCAGTGTCATCCTGGAAGAGACCACTCATTTATTAAGGTTTCTCCCTTTATTCCGTGGCCTGTCTGCATTTGCTGCACTTATTTTAATCTGATTCAAGTATATTTATTCCTGATATTGTACTGCAAAAACTGTTCATGCTCATCAACTATCATTTGATTATGCAAAGCACTAACTTTTTGTATGTGCTATACAAATAACATGTTATTGACTAATCTAGAATTACCTCAATGCGATTGTATGCCTCCACCAACCAGTCAAATTCATGGGAATGGGACAAACCTGAGGTCACTGTGACTTTGACCTTCCACCACCAAAATGTAAGTTCATCCTTGAGCTCTCAAGTAGATGTTTGTGCCAAATATGAACAAATTCCCACACGGCAGTCCTGAGATATCGCTTTCAGACAAGCTGAAAATAATAAACCCAAGTACAGTAAACCTCAACTGCTGCAGGCTTAGATTTGCAGAAGCCTGCTGGAGCCAATCCCAGCTGACAGTGGGCGAGAGGCAGGGTATACCTTGGAGAGGTCAATTTGCAGTAGGTGAGGCACACACCACACATTTACTCTGCTGTTCATACAAACAATGCTATGCTTACTGGACTGATTAATATAGCAGCTTATCAGTCAGAAACACAACTGAGTCCACTCAAATACAAGACTATAGTTCTAAGCAAGGACTGGAATTGGAGTGGCTCTAATCTGGTCGATACGGATCCTGTGAAATATTCCTGCATGGGTGCCAATGCCCATACTTTGTATTGGATCAGGACAGCTCTAAAATAACTCTAATAATGTAAGAGACAGAGATACAACCATTAATTAATTTTTATTAAACATACACAAAAGATAAAAAACTATTTTATGCAATTCTGTGCTTTACTGATATTACCCAACTCCTTAACAAAATGTTTATATTAATAATGTTACATATATTTGTTAGATAATCCCTAGTTTCAAGTGAGTACGGCTCTCAAGATATTCTAGAGTGCACACAGAGGTGATGTTGTTCCTCAAAGAAATGCAACAACACTGCCTGAAAAAAGAGGGAGACGTACACACCCACACAGACCTGATAAGAGGTCTAAGGTGTAATAACTGAAAACACCTGCACTTGTAGGCCCTGACTGTGCATCTCTCAGCCCAGTGTTTTTCAGTGTAGTTAAAGGCTGATGTAGTTAAAGGCTGGATTTTTTTTTTTTAAACAGATTTTTGCAACAGTGTGATGAAGCACCTTGAATTGTCACGTATCTACCAGAATCAGACAATCCAACCTATTCCTTCAATGTGGCATAAAATAACCACCAATTCTACAGGACACCCCCAAAAGAAAAATCATTATAGTTTAATTGATTTCATTTACTTCATGAATGGAAAAGTGTGAATGAAAGGCTGCACAAGGATGCCAAGGGTTAACATGGCATCAGTGAAAGGCACAGGTCTTGGTGCAGACTGCACTGCTCTGCACAAAAAGGAATTAAACGATCAATGTGGCACTTAGATTTTAAAAGTGCTCTTCAAATTCACCAATCAACACTCTCTAAATTAGATCATTTCGGTGTTCACCTTACACTCAAGCACCCCCTTTCCAAAGGCTTCAAAATAGATGCTCACTTTATGGAACACCAAGAATGAAAATTACTATGGACACAGTGCCATTACAGGAGGTTTCTCCTCGAGGTACACGTTCACTTCCATACCAGCTTTAATGCCTGCTCCCTGAACAGTGGCGCAATCATCGATACAACAGCCGGTGGTTTCAATTATCTGATCATGACTGAGGTTGAGATGTCATTGTATCAGCTCAGAGTACTCCGCTGCAGTTTATTATTCAATAAGCTTGGCCATCTGATATGCTTGCGGTTGATCTACGCTTTTCACTATAAGAACAAACTTCAAGACAGGTTATGGCATAAAGCCAGACCCAAGAGTAAAGAGCCACACCTTGACCGACCTGCCTGAGGGCCGCGTTTTTAGCATTTTTTCGTGTTTAACAGGAAAAAACAGTACCCGATATTCTAGATGAAGCTAAGTTACTGCTCTTGTGTGAACCAGCTGGGGAATGCCAATACCTTGCATTATGCAAAGAGACAAACTTCTGCAAACACAATCATTAGTTAATCAGTTTATTAAGACGGGCATTCCGTTTCTTATATGCAGAAGATTTACATACATACATTTGAGGTGCGCCTCGTTTCACTACAGCTGGTAACAGGATGCCAGACCTGCGCCGCTAATGAGACCAACACCAATCTCCATTCAGATTTGTGCTCGTTTTTACTTGCCTGGCACGTCACCAGAGGTTCATGCCCGCTGGAACGCAAAGCTAGTTGCAAATTATCAGGATCCACTTTTATACTCCGCGTGATAACGGTGCTTTCAAATGCAATAACTTTTTCAATTGGGTCGCCTGTTATTAAAACACACTTCCACCAAAATACAAGTTGACGGGCGGTGGCGAGCAGAACAGATTTCAAAAAGTTGGTAAACATGAGAACAGAGGAAGTAGCCAATAAACTTAAGACCTCGGGTTAAATAAAGTTCAATTCTTTTTAATGGTCGCTAATCAAATAAATTGTTGGATAGGCGCTCGCGCCAACTGAACCCTATCAAGGTAGGTAGGCGTGGGTCTCTCGCGCAGGTTTCGCCTACATGTAATAAAACCATTGCTTTAACTTAAAAATTAATAATAAAATGTTTAAAAATTGAGGGAACTTACTTTCCAAGCTCCTCGTACAGCTGGTACTCATCGGTAAACCTGGTGCAGGTCGTTGAAGCCATGTTAAGGTGAGCAGAGCGACTTAGGAAACTGACCGTCTCAGTTGCTTTAATACTCCACACAAACCCTTTCACCTGTGTGTCCCACAAAGTCACTTGCCGCCTTTCGTAGGAATAAAATAAAAGCTAACTCGGGATTTTTTTTATTTTTATTTTTTTTAGAAATGTCTCCTGGGTGCCAATAAAAGCTCGGCCTCGCTCCTCACGACTGCCGTTCGCAGACCCTGCTGTCTCCTGGAGTTGACAGAGACGTCGCGACCTTCCGTTGTGTTTGTCTCTACACTGACACTTGGATTAGTGAAGGCAGTCAAGACAGACAATGTGCGACATCTCACATCCGGTGACTAAATTTCAAAATAAAAACTTTAATTGAATTGTCCTCTTTTGTAAATGTAGCCCACTTTAGGGAAAATGTGCACTGTCCCTGATAGCGCGTTTTATCGATCATTGTAAACCCAATTTAGCATTTAGACCACTATTTTATGTATTTTTAGAGCTCTTTTTTACTGTTTTCATGTAATTAGTTTTTATCTTCCATTATGTTTTCAAGTAAAGTGCATGAGCTATGTAAAGTTACGTTAAATTACATTTGTTTAAAATCACTTTTTGTGACTTTTATAAGTAATTGAAAATTAAGCAACAACTAAACAAACAATTAGGCTAAAGAAAGTGTGACATTATTTTTTAGTTTTCACATAATTTTAGGATCAGTAGGAACCACAGTTAGTTTATTGCTGTTATAATTTAGTTCCTTACTTTCAAGCCAAAATAGCCCATGTTAAAGAAAATGCACTGCAATATATTTTACAAAAGTAAATTTATACTAAATTCAATCTTCACCGTTGTCAGAGTATCGCCGTATCTTGACACTACCCATTAATTTGAGCGATGGATTTGACAACCAACGCTTCTTTTGACCTGGATTTTACCTTATTTTGAAGGTAAAATAACATCCGATTTGCGATCGATACGGTTCTAGCTTGATGAAGCTACTGAGTGCTTTCTTTTTGGAAACGCTGCACAAGGGCTTCATCTAGAGGCAGTAGGGTTGACCTGCTGCCATGCCCCGCTCTGCTATGAGGAAGGGAACTATTCTTTATTCGGATCCCCGTTAATCACTATCCTAGACAGTAACCAAACAAAACCAGACAAAATTCATCACAAAATATTAAATACTGAACCTCTAAAACACCCCCAGCCACATTTTCATGTTTACATGCATAATATAAGTAAAAACAGAGAATGTTGAAAACAAATCTATAATATTTGAAAAAAATCAGGTTAATCTCATTTAACATAATAGTCATTTTTAAATTATGAAAATATTTGGTATCTGTTCTATACTGATGATTTTTGGTCACTTTTTCGTGGAACTGCTGACATAAACATCTGAGTCCTGCATTGGTGATTACCTCAAAATTGTACTTGCACTTACTTTCCACCAGTACTGTTCAAAGATGGTTTCTGGTATCAGACGTGGATGTCATCCATGTTCACTGAGTCCTGGTCAATGACCTTTGACCCTAACCTTTGACCCAGAAGATGTTGAGACTAGTTTTGTTCTGGTGTTATACACTAGATGGTTTGAGGTGTTCTATCTTCCTGCCATGACTATAGCTAAACTAATTCCACCTCCACTGTTTCCAAAGTCAAGATTCAGCCTTAATTCTCAGTGACAAGTTACTATCCTTCAGTTGTAAAGTATCAGATGGAGTCCTTGAGACAACTGAGTAGTCCCTTAGGGATACACATTCTGCAATATACTGAGTCAGTTTTAGTAGGAAGGACTTTGCTAATCAAAGTAATTAGCACACGATGCTTCTGAAACTGGTGTAATTGTTTATGCCTTCGGGCAAACTCACCAAAGTAGATTGACTGAGCAAAAAACTCTTGAAACAAAACTAAGTCAAAAACAAATTTAAGACATCTAAAGTCTTCGCAGTACACAGCCAGTTTAAAAATTACTTAAGAGCCTGATCAATTTTACCTTGAATAGTTGCTGTTAAGTGGATCTTCATTAATCCCCATTTAAGATGTAATCTGACCTAATCCACCAGTGAGGAAGGTATGCTCTGAAACAAACTACTGGCAGCTTCCTGTGGATTTAGTGCTATGGATTGTATGTGTTCACCATCAGCACCGCAATAAAGCAGCATTCAGCTACAGTGGAATACTGTTTGACTGTGGTGCCAAGTGGGGTGATTATCACTGCTCATTCAGATACTAACAGAGCTATACTATCCACTATAGCATGTCAGTGACAAATGACTGCATGTTATTGGAGGAACCCCCCAAGATATCTATATTTATCTACATCAGCACCATCACTATGACAGTGGGTTATTTTTAGCCCTAAACATCCTAAACCTCTGCTGCCCTCTAGTGAACAGATTTCATCATAGACATTCATAGATGATCACTGATCAGCCATCAAAACCATTGGTAGGTAAAGAGAATAACACTATTTTGTTATAATGACACCTATCACTGGGGTGAGATATTTTAGGCAGCAAGTGAACAGTCAGTGTTTGAAGTTCACATGTTGGAAGCGGGGGAAAAGGCAAGTGTTAAGGATGTGGGTGACTTGACAAGAGCCAAACTGTGATGGCTAGACAACTGGGTCAGAGCATCTCCAGAGCATACTGGGTGTTCCCAATACGCAGTAGTCATTACCTACCAAAAGTGGTCCAAGGAAGGACAACTGGCACCCAAGGCATATTGATGCATGTGGGGAACCCATGAGCATCAGAACTGGACCATGGAGCAGTGGAAGAAAGTGGCCTGGTCTGATAAATCATGTTTTCTTTTACATCATGTGGACGGCCAGGCGTGTATGTGTTGCTTGCATAGAGAATAGATGGAACCAGGATGCACTATGGGAAGACAGCGAGCTGGTGGAGGCAGGGTGATGCTCTGGGTAATGTTCTGCTGGGAAACTTTGGTTCCTGCCATTCATGTGGATTCTACACCTACCTAAACACAGACCAAGTACACCCTGTTATGGCAGAGGCTAATGTGCTAACATCTTGGCACCAGATACCAGGAGACACCTTGTGGAGTCGTCTTGTGGAGTCCATGCCTCAGTGGGTAGGAGCAGTCAAGGCAGACCTATAGTACACAGACAAATGTTTGATCAGGTTTAATCTCTGAAGTTCTGGTTAAAGTTCCAGCTGAACTGTAGAACTGAACGGAACCTAGTAATTCTCACAAATGTGAAACCTGTGCTTGTAATAAAAATGACTGTAGCTGACAAGAATTTGCAGTGAAGCTCCACTAATTTGCTTGCTGTCAAATTTCTGACTCTATCACACAATCTTTAGCTGGTATTTTAAGGTCATGAAGTAGGTGTGTTAAAAATGCTAAAAAATAGTAATGCGTTATGACAAACATGCATCACAGGTAGAGGACGCCGTTCTTCCAGTTCAGGTAAAACTCCAGCTCTTAGTGTTTCTGTCATGGTGGATGATAAAAGGAGAAAGTCAAAACACATTCTACACATCTGTCTTCTAGAGTGAAGGCCAGTGAAAATGATAGTTTTACACAGTCACATTAACCACTGATGTCTTCAAGTGTCTTCACCTCTATGACATGACTTTACTGATGTTGAGTTTGATTGTTCATTCATGACCTTAAAAATTAGTATTTGTAGTTTGGGCAGTTAAAAAACAGCCTACTTTTTTCTTCTTAAATTTACTAATGCTTTATTTATATAGTCTCCTGCTTGCAGGTGGTCTCACATTACTCAGCGTCATTACATACTGTACCCTGTCGACTCCCACACTATAGAAGACAGAGATTTATACTGTGACACAGAGCAGTACATTTTTGCCTACTTAAATCTTGGTTTGAGATGCAGCCAGCATGTTGAGTTCATATGGAGAGACCTTCCCATCTGGTGGTGGGAGAGGCATGGAGAGAAGGTCAATTTGAAGAGTCAGGAGGCCACAGGAGAGTGAGCTTTCGCTGCACCAATACAGAACTCCTCTCACACATACTGCAGTTTTATAACACATAGCTAGGTTTGACACAAAAGGGGTTTTTGAAGGCCAATAAAGATAACAATATCCATGTTTTTGTCCAAAGAAAAATGAATGCACATATGACTATATGCCAGCTGTAAGGCCTATCTGTACACATAATAATGTACAGGCTGTGAGATTTTTCTCCTGCTAAAATGTCATAGGACACGTTCAGGAGCATTATTGTTTTGAAGGATGTTCTGGTCTTTATAACTAGCTATTCTGTGGATACCTTTCAAAAAATGCCCTGGGTTATTTAAACCATTTTAATTCAAGGTTAAATGCATTTAGTTGCTGTCATGTGAAAAACAAATTCGGTGATGTTACTGTACAAAGAGCTTCGGTGCTGACAGGTACATAAAGCCACTGTAAAACGTTTTGGCTCATGTCAAAATAGTCCTGTGGTGCAGAAGGAAAGCTGACATTACCGACTGAATCCTAAACTATATTCTCAAAGTTGATGGAAGGATTCAAACAGATGTGAATTCAGTTAGGCAGCACTAATTGAGGTCAAGACGTTTGCACTACTTGAAAATGTCTTAACTTTAAAAAAAAGTGCTTGTTTTGGTTCCATGGCTCTTTATGAGCATGAGATTGGTGTATTGCAGATAGCTGTAGCTCATGGCTGTAAAGACAGATTGCACAAACAACTGAGTTAATGGCTAATTTTACACAAATGAAAACCATGTAGTTTTGTTTAGCATCCAATCTGAATGCAAGATGTAAAAATATTTTCCCAAACAACATTAATTTACAACATCAGCGCAAAGGCGTGCCCATTTGAACCAACACTATTGCTCCTGTAAAAGCCAAATGTTGTTTGAAAATTCAATATATCTTACCCTTTCTCTGGAAGAATTGATTATAACTATTGGCTTTTATTTTTGTGGTTGATAGTTACAAGGTCATTACCTTTAATTTTGCCTTCAAGTGTCACAAATTGGTGCACTTATAAAGCACTTTTGTTCAGAGTGCTTTACAATCCACCACTTTTTAACTTGCAGTAGCAGCAAGCCACTCAAAGGTGCTGGCCTAAGCATCATGAGCAATTAGACATGATGACAGCAGGTGCCAGAAATTGAGCCATCAATCCTGTGATTTGTGTACAACCCACACCACCTGCTTGGACACTGAAAGTTTAAGTGAGATCCAAAAGGAACTAGTTAGCACTTACTGAATGAAGAAAGTTATGTTTTTAATGTGGCTTAAAAAAAAACATTAATGGGTCTTTGCAGTGCCATCAGGAACCATCCCGTACCATTCCATACTGGGATCTGCATGTTTCCACTGTCTCAGAAACAAAT